TGACTATTTATTGATAATCAGTGATTCTGGCTGTTCAGCTGCTCTACTGTTATTGACTTTATCTGCTGCATTTGACACTGCTGATCAGACATTCTGCTGTCTCATCTGGATCTGTGTGTCAGTATAAGGGGCACTGTTCTCAAGTGGTTCATGTCCTAATTACTGGATAGGTCCTTCTCTGTGAACTTGGGGGTTTCACATCGCAAACAGCACCTGTGACCAGTGGTGTTCCACAAGGTTCCATTTTGAGGCCTACACTTTTTTCATTACAGTCAGGTCCATAAATATTGGGACATCGACACAAGGCTAACATTTTTGTCTCTATAAACCACCACAATGGAACAAATGAAGCGAATAAGATGTGCTTTAACTGCAGACTGTCATCTTTTATTTGAGGGTATGTACATCCAAATCAGGTGAACGGTGTAGGAATTACAACAGTTTGCATATGTGCCTCCCACTTGTTAAGGGACCAAAAGTAATGGGACAATTGGCTTGTTCGTTTCATTTGATTTCCACTGTGGTGGTGTATAGAGCCAAAAATGTTAGCATTGTGTTGATGCCCCAATATTTATGGACCTGACTGTATACATTTTGCCTTTAGGCTCTATTTTTGCCAAACACAACATCGCTTTCCATTGCTTTGCAGATGACCTTCAGAATATTCTACATACAAATGACTCTTTAGTACAGGTACCAGAAGCTGTGATTAAAAGCCAGAGGTTAAACCCTCTTCCACTCATCCCTAATTCTATAGCAATGGACAGCTTCGCAGATGTGAGATTTTAGTCTTTGGCAGTCAAGACTTTTTAAATGGGGTTGTGAGTCCACTTGGTCTTTTCTCAGCACTTTTAATGCGCTATGAGAAAAACCTTGATTTTTATTTTTTGGGATGGTTCTTTTAAACTTGATAGGCGTATAGTCTAGTCCAGTTTGGCTTTGATCATTAAGGCAACTGGCAAGGTTCAAACATTATCTACCTGCAATGGTCTTTGAACATGTGATTCATTTGTTTGTCTCTTGTCAGTTGGACTACTGCAATAATCTCTACTCTGGCCTAGAAAATCCCACTTTAAATCACTTACAGCTGGTTCAAAATGCAGCTGCTCGACTTTTAACTGTTACAAGGATGCGTGGTCATGTCCCTCCGGTGCTGACTTCCCTTCACTGGCTTCCAGTACGTTACAGGATCCAATTTAAATTACTGCTTTTTGTTTTTAAATCTCTCCATGGCCTAACTCCTGTAAGTTATCCCAAAGGCTCGTCTCAAGACCCGAGTAGGTAGAGCTTTCTCAGTGACTGGCCCTAAGCTCTGGAACAGTCTCCCCTTACAGCTTAGGACCTCTCAGACTTTGGTGGATTTTAAGTCATTACTTAAAACTTGTTTCTTTGACTTTGCTTTAAATGTTGGTTGATCTGTGTAGCTATTCTTTTACTTTTTATCTAGTTTTACTGAGGTTTTATTACTTGATTTTGTAGTGATTGTTTTACTCTCGACCTGTCATTTTACACATGGTTTTATTGTTTTTATCATCTACTTTTTATCTTTTTACCGTGTTCATTTTGGGTGTGTTTCATGTGGTATTGTTATTTACAGCACCTTGGGTTGGGTGAGCAACAGTAAGTGTGCTATAGAAATAAAGCTGACCTTGACCTTCAGTGGCTGGTTGGTTTATTAGCTAGTTTTCATAATGACATGACTGATTCAGATTTTATGTCAGAATGTTCTACATACAAATGACTCTTTTTAGTACAGGTACCAGAAGCTGTGAATAAAAGGCTGAGGTTAAACCCTCTGGACACCCACACAGCAAATTACGGTCTTGTGACAGAGCTGCACGACAAACACGATGAAATATTGGCTCATAAGTGAACATGTGTCGGCACAAGTGACACTGACAAAGGCCAAATCAATACGACCAGTTGAGTGAATTAGAGCTCTGCTGTTGTCTCAGTCAGCAGCTCTGAGTGTTTGTCGTCTAAACAGGGAAAAAGTCAACTTCACCACAGCATTGGTTATAACATAATTGGGAAAAATAATAAAAGTAATAATAATAATGGTAGTTAAAGGTTTTTATTAGTTGGTGTAGTGTAGCCCAACTGCTTTAGGGAATAAAAACCAAAAACAAAAGCAGAAAGCTGTGTGTTTTCAATGCCTCTGTTATGTGTTAAACTGTGAATAAAAAGCTGATTGAGACACAGTTGGTGCAGGTTTTCAGAGTCAATTCATTGAATATATTTGCATTTTTCCCAGTAGAATATTTCAGGAATGATGGGAAATTTAAATAATCACAGTCAAAGAACCATAATAAATTAAGTCAGAGCTAAATCTAAACAAATATGCTTATGTTCATGTAAATACAAAATGGGGTAATAGACAACATCTTCCTTTGATAGCTAATTTTCAAATAATTACAATAAAGGCTCATCATCACAAAATAAACATAGAATTTTTTTAACCCATTAGGCCTAAATTATATAGAAGTTCCTTTAAAAAATCAAACTATTTATTGGATAATAGTAAAACAACAATGATATAATAAGCCATGTGTTGGTTAATATTTAACACTGCCTGTCCAGAAAAACGTCACCACTCAGTGGTTTCTCCTTCTGTTCCCTCCATAAGTGGTTTTTATAAACACCGTGGATCTAACACTGCTAATTTATGTCCAC